GTGTTTTTCAGGATCTGGAGTCTCAGAAGGTGATTGGGAGTGGCCATGAGGTGAACGGAATATACCTGCTTGATACTCCGGGACAATGCACTGATCATCCTGGGAATGTTGCTTTCGGATTTGTATCTTCAGAGTCTATTAGTCGGATTATGTTGTGTCATCGTCGTTTGGGTCATCTGTCTTTTTCTGCCTTGAGTCATCTATTCCCTGAACTGTGTAAGGGAATTAGTTTGTCTAGTCTTCATTGTGAGTCTTGTGAGTTATCAAAGCATTGTATAAACAATTATCCTTTAAGCAATAAAAGATCTTCTTTTCCTTTTAATATTGTGCACTCTGATGTGTGGAGGCCTTACCACTTATCCTCCATGGGTGGCTACAAATATTTTATCTTGTTTATTGATGACTTCTCTCGGTTCACTTGGATATTCCTGATGAAATCCCGTGATGAAGTTCAAAGACTTGTGAGACAATTACATGAATTTGTTCTAACCCAATTTGATACCAGGATTAAAATTTTCAGATCTGACATGCAAAAGAATATTTTGAGACGAACCTATCCTGCTATCTCTCTGACATGGGGGTTATTCATCAAAGCTCCTGTGTTAGGACCCCAGAACAGAATGGAGTTGCTGAAAGGAAAAATAGGCATATTGTTGAAGTTGCAAGAAGTATCTTATTTGCCTCACTGTTCCTACAAGGTTTTGGGGTGATGCTGTTCTTACTGCCACCTACCTTATAAACCGTATGCCCTCCAGGGTTTTAGGGTTTAAGTCTCCCTTCAATCTCCTTCATCCAGACAAGGACCTTTTTCCTATTCCTCTTCATGTCTTTGGCTTCACCTGTTATGTTCATGTTCCAAGTGTCCAGAGGCATAAATTTGAACCCAAAGCCCACAAGTGTATCTTCCTTGGTTATTCCCCCACACAGAAGGGCTACTGTTGTTTTGATCCAAAGACTGACACTCGGTATGTCTCAATGGATGTCACCTTTGATGAGCTTTCCCCCTTTTATGGTTCCTCTCTAGAAGGACATTGTCCACAAGGGGAGGATTTGCCACAGGTGTTTGCTCTTCCTCTTCCTGTCCCAGTTAAGTCTTTTGATGAGTCTGCTTCTCCTTCAAATGAATCAAGGGCGGATCAGTCATTCCATTCTCCCTGTCCCAATGCTCTTCCACCTCTACCTCCTCGTCCTATCCTCAATCCCAAGGTGTATCAAAGGCAAAGATCCAGAAATGAGCAGGTTGTTTCTCCTACAACACATGTGCCTCATACACTTCCAGTCACAGATGAGACAACAGGTACAGTTTCAGCACCCTTGGAGTCATCCTTCCYTGACCTTGATATYCCCATTGMTGTTAGGAAAGGAAAACGGAAGTGCACTGCTCACTGCATTTCCAAGCACCTTTCTTACAGGTTGCTTTCACCTTCATACTTTGCCTATCTCTCTTCTGTTGCTTCTAACCCTATTCCCAGGTCTGTGTCAGAAGCTCTTAAGATTCCAGAATGGAGGGATGCTATGAGATCTGAAATTGATGCTCTACACAAGAATGACACATGGGAAGTGGTTAATTTGCCTGAAGGGAAGGATCCAGTCGGTTGC